GGCCATAACATTAGGATTTCGCCTTCCACGGGTCACTGAGATCTGCTGGATTCCATCCACCTTATGAGGCTCACACACACACACACACACACACAGAGATTCATCACCCATCAGGTTATCTGGTGGAGGAAGTTACAAGAGGAGAGAGAGAGAGAGAGAGAGAGAGAGAGAGAGAGAGGTTCATCACCCATCAGGTCATCTGGTGTGGCAAGTTAGTTACGAGCATTACCTGCAGTCGTCATTTCTCCATTTTGCTCCCAGATGGCACTCAGCCCTTGCTGAAGGGTTGTTGTTAGGTTCAGTTGCATGTTTTCCGACTGTCGAGTAGGAGCCTCTTTAGGAGGTACGAGTTGGAACCTGGAGAAGATCTCAATATGTTGTTTTTGGGCATTAGACAAAGATGCTTGGTATATTGCCTGTGCTCACTGTGTGACAGCGTGGATAATTGTTCTTCCTCTGCAGGTTTTTCGGACATCGGCTCGACTTAAGTGAAGGCATCATTGTCAAGTCCCTCTCCTTCATATGATGCAAGAGTGCTGCTCATATTGTGTTCCCTGTGTTTGTCCTCTTTTGCACACTTCACTTACAGGTTGGCACAGGATTAGGACCAACACTAGAGTTTTATACATTGCTCAGTCATGAGCTTCAGCGGCGATCATTGATGCTTTGGAGGACGGAGATTGAACAGCCGTCTGTGGAAGTGAAGGTATCGGCATCGGTGGAGGAAGATGTGGATATGCGGGATATGGATGAAGAGGATGGGGCTGTAGTGTCTACATCTGCTGCAGTCCACACAACACGGAATGAGTCAACCGCTGAGGGTAGCGGGGTTCGATCTCAGAGTGTGCAGAGGGACGAGCGGGCAAGGCAAGAGGAACATGTGTATGCTCCCCACGGGCTGTTTCCCAGGCCCTGGCCAGTGCCTGCACCAGATGCAGCAGAAAACCCTGCAAGGAAGAAAGTGATGGAGTATTTCAAGCTTTTAGGGACGGTCATGGCAAAAGCTCTTCAAGACGGCCGGTTGCTCGACCTCCCGTTCGCAAGGGCCTTCTATAAGCTGGTTCTTGGGCAGGTACAGTACTATCGCTTGTGTGAATTACTGAATAGCGGGCTATTAGCCTTAGGCCCTCAGGACATGTTATAAGCTTTTGGGTGAAAATTCACTGTTTACTTTCCAGGCTTGTACACACTTCATCGCACCTGCATGACCAAATAGGCACATGTGAAAGGCCTCCAATGGTCGTGTCTCGTCTGATCTGTAAGTCTGTGCTCCTTTGAGCGCTTGATTCCCAACTACAGGGGAGAAGCAGTTCATGTTCATGCTGCTCTTGAGCTCAGTATCACTGCTTTATGTGCATTGTCTTCTGCGTGCCATCTCTTAATGTGTTTACGATTTCCAAAGATAGGCTCTGCGTGCCGATTGCATGGTGAGGCCTACGTGTCTACAATTTATCGACACGTGGGAGATGATAGGCTGATGTGTGCCTATCAAGTGCATGAGAATATGTGCGAGTGTATGTTGTTGTTTCCATTTGACGGTCAGCTATGTATCTCCCCGGGCGGCGGCTGCGGCTGAGGCCACGGCAGCGAGGTGGCAGCCAGGCGGGAGGGGTTGCGGGGGGGGGGATGGCAGGTTGGGGTTACACAACCCCAACCCCGGCCCCTGGCACAAACAAAACTGGGGGGGGGGGGGAGTTGTGGGTCAAAAACATTTAAAAAATTGAAGCAAAAAAAATATTGATTGATTGATTGATTGATTGGCGGGGGAGGGGTGGCCCCCCCTCCCCCACACGCGCACGCACACACACACACACACACACACACACACACACACGCACACACACACACACACACACACACACACACACGAACACTTTTGTTTTTTTGATTGACTTATTGATTGATTGATTGGTGGGGAAGGGGTCTCCCCCGCCCCCTCTCTCTCCGGCCGCCCAACACGCGCACAGACACATACACACATTCACACACACTTTGTGTATTCTACTATTTTTATCTTCTTTTTTTTTCCCCCAAACCAAAACAGGCCCCTTCTATTCTGGGGGGCAACAGTCGGGTTGCTTATCCCCTGCAAGCATGTTTGTACAAAAGCAATGGGAGAAAAAGACAGAAAAAGAGGGTCAGCCTAACCCGGGGTAGTCACTGAGGCCTGCTTGTCCAATCATCATCTATTTCCTGCCACTCCAGAGCCTACCTCGCGTATCGCTACTTCAAAGGCGACGTGGTTTCTGTTTCAGCCGCCATGTGTCTATCTATACCCACAAGTCAAATTTCGTATTCTGCCTTCCACCATTAATAGCCCCAGTTTTTTTATTTTTTATTTTTTGAAATACCAAAAAATCAGCGGTTGGGGAAAATTTTTATATGGTGTTGAACAACCACACATTTCTATTTTATTTTATTTGAAATTATTTCCCATTTATTGGGCAGGGAAAAATCCCTAAAGGCCCGTGGCTGCGACCCAACCACGGCGATCCACTTCCGCGGTTGAGATCCCGACTGCCGGCCGGGATCACCCAGCGGTTGCGACCGCGGGGGATACAGAGACTGTCAGACCTTTTCATCAGTGACACTCTCGATCAAGGTATACGGATTTGACCTGACTATGGAGTTGGTGGCATTACGATGTTGCCCTTGGAATTGGTATCTTGGCTGGGTGCAGGAACTGGACCTGTTTGACATGAAGTCTTTCGATCCTGAGCTTGGTCGCACATTAGAAGAGATGCATGCATTGAGTCGGCGAAGAATTGTTTTGGAGGTTTCACCTGGAAACAGACAGGCAGAGATTTCCAATCTACGGTTGATGGGGTCCAGAGTTGAGGACCTCTGCCTGGATTTCACTCTTCCAGGTTATCCAGACTATGAGCTCAAACAAGGTGGCGCATCCCAACTGGTGAGTATTGTCTCTGTGATCTGTTCTTTAGTGATGATTTACTGGAATTGTGTGTGAACTTTGAAGTCTTGTCTTCAGTAGTATTACCATGCGACGAGTAATATTACTATGAAGGATGGAGAAACACAAACACAGATGAAACATGAGGAGGGTGTGAAAAGAACCCAACTCCGATGGGCCGAAGGAATATGAGGTAGGCTAATTACGTCGACTTTCTGATACGCGGGCACACAAAAGAAAACACACAGAAAATGAGGAAGCGAGATCGATCATGCGAGGGAACAAGAAGAGAGAATGAGGAAGAGTGAAAGGCAGAGAAACTAGATGGGAAGGCAGAGGGAAGAGAAGAAGAACATCGAAGAAAAGGGGAAAAAGGAGCGAGGAGAGAGAGGAGAGTAAAGAGGAGCAGACCAAAGAACATCTTGGAGGAACGCATTCATAACCCTGCCGCTGATCATACGCATCGAGGAATCTATGGACGACACGGTCGTCAATATGTTTGTGGATGTACAGTGGGGTGTTTTACAGAACATTCACTTGAAACCACCAGTACCCCAGGGGGTCTTGGGCCTTCCCTCTGGGGAGGCTCTGAGGCAAATGCATATGGACCTGCGATCGATTCAGCCACCGTGTTAACGGCCTAAGGACGTCGAGGCACTGGTGGTAATGAGGGAATTGCACGGTTAACTTCTTTGCTCACGCTGAGAGTTAAACACAGACGAGTCGATTTGCGTTCTCATTCGAATGATTACGTCATTCATACATCCAACGTGCGCGTGAAGGATCGAGAAGCGTGGTCATTCATCACTGTGGGAAAGAAAGGGAAAAACACAGATGAAACGAAGACGAACGTACCACATCATTCACACATCCAACGTGCGCGTGAAGGATCGAGAAGCGTGGTCATTCATCGCTGTGGGAAAGAAAGGGAAAAACACAGATGAAACGAAGACGAACGTACCACAGAACCCAACTGCAACAGGCCGAAGTAATATGAGGTATTCCAACAATATGTGACACAGGAGTTCGGAGCGTTTGTTAATGTGAGTGTGGACCTTCCACTCATGGCCCACCCTTCCTGTCTGCCGCATCTGTGTCTCAGGTGGAATTGGCGAACTTGGAGGAATATGTAAAGCTTGTTGTCAATGCTAGTGTGAAGGCGGGAATCGCAGCGCAGCTGGAAGCATTTCGAGCAGGCTTCAATCAGGTCAGTTCCTGTCATTTGCTTTTTCCTCTTTAGCATGTATGGATTTAGCTTTCCTTGCTTGAAGACTGACGGTGATTTGTTATCACTTGCCGAAGATGCCTTTTGCTGGTTGGTCCTACTGTGCCCATACCTCCAACCTTCAGTGGCCACACGAAAACGAGCAAGTCTCTCTTCTTTCCCTCTCTTTTCAGTGTCTTTCCCTGGAATGGCTGGGACAGTCAGATGCATGACGTTGCCGACATATTACTGCTCGCAAGGACGTGAACATCTAACATACTGTGACTGTACCGTGCCTCGTCATTTCCCAGCCTTTTCCCATCATACTGTGCCCATAATAGCCCTTTCCCATCATACTGTGCCCATACCATCAAATTTAAGTGGTCATCTGAAAACATGGCAGTCTCTCTTCTTTCCCTCTCCTGTCCTTTTGTCGTTCCTGAGTACTCTTGCCGCCGTGACCGTTTCTTATTTTTGCATTGTATTCGCAGGTCTTCTCCATTTCGTCATTGCAAGTGTTTAACGACGAAGAGCTTGACGCATTGCTGTGCGGACGGCGAGAGATGTGGAATGTGAGTTTTTAACTTGGTCCCAGTAAAACTCCCTCTCTCCTCAGATACATACCTGTCGCCGCGATTCATCCCATGTGCAGTGCCACAGCAAGCTGACACCGGCAGCAGTTACTAAACTCCTGGCTCTGTTTTTGACCTGGGCAGGTCACAGACTGAGCATCACAGATGGCAGACCTGCTTTCGATGAATCGGAGAACACGCTGTGATAGAGAACAGAATTGCATACATCACACAGTATCTGCCTGGTAGTTCAAAAACCCCAGTACATTCGAGCCTCTTCATGAGGCGGATTCCCCCTGTGCACCAGTCTTTGCCGAAACACCAGCACGGCATTTTCGTTTTCGTTTTCAGTTTGAACTGTGCCACCAGCTATTTTGGTCCAGTTGCTCCAAGCCTCCGCATTTTTTGGAATGAGCTGATTTTGATTCTCGAGTTTCCAGGGGCCATGGGCTGGTGGTGGTGTAAAGCTTAAAGTGATGAATTAAGGATTCCATGGATTGTTTCATTTGAGAGAGTCAAGGAGGACAAAGTAGTGGGACGTACCATGCTTAGAAGTTGGGCAAGAATACGAAGGGGCCAAATTTCTCCAAATTGTATCGAATACAGTAATGCAGGTGCTGACTGCCAGAAAGAAAAGCAGGGGGGAAACGGAAACAAGTGGCACACTTACGCAGAGCAAACCTGCTTTCAAATAGGTAGCGCATGCTATATGATTAGCATACCCCTGTATTGCTAAATGCGCTATCATATTCCAGTGTCTCTGCATTATCCCTACGCCGGCAAGGTGTCCTAAAATCACCCAATGCCCCTCTGTTTTCCATCGTTGCACTGACATGTCGGAAGAGACTTATGCGGACCCTAATTGTCGTTGCATCTCTCCGCATGCTGGTAGACGAGCTGCCGCCAACAATGCCGGGCCCTGGAATTCCAAACTGTTATGGGCCAAGGACCTACCGAACAGCACCAGTCTTTTTGGTCCGGTAGGCTGAGCCTGTTTTTTTTTTTTTTTTTTTTTTCCCTTTT